TAAATCGTAAATAAAATGAAAAGATGGGGAATACCCATATACGATAACTAAGATAAATGAAAACTGATAAGTTTAATACAAAGAAGATATTAACTCAATACTAAGTTGAATCTAACTATGTCTGAAATAAGCCTTTAAACTGACTAGAAGTGCTGGGACATGCCCCAGCTAAGTCTAGAAAATCTGAACCTAAAAGACTGAAAACTGAAAGATGACATAACTATTATCCTCGAAGAATGAGGACTCACCACTGATGCTGCTGAACTGGAGATCGGGAACCACCGATCTAAGCGTGATCTGGATGCTGGGAACCTGAACCTACATCACGAGAAGATGTAGCGCACGTATGCGTTAGTACTTGAAAGGTACTGAGCATGCAGGGTAGAGTAAAGCTGAAATAGCATATACATTAAAAAAGACATAAAGCAATGATATAATCTGAACATGATATAGACACTGAATGCTGAACTAACTGAATGCAATGACCAATTTATAACATGCTGAGACTGAATACTGACTGTACTGAAATATGGTCAATGCAATAGAGTCTGACTGAACTGTGGGAGCTACTAATAACCGACAATAAAACAACATGAGCTAAATATAGAGTCCGATGTAGATGCCCCATCGAGAGGACCCAATATACCCTGCTAGAGGTATAGAGGCATGCTGGCGTGATCACTAAACTGATGTTGCCCACAGAGGGGACTTACACCTACGTGGCTCGTAGTTCTGGGACTATATGGGTACGCTGAAACCCTAGTCTAACTTGGTATTATGCTACTCCCAATAGATTAAGTGGTCAACACATTAGGACTGAGTTTCTGTAAATACTGGATAGCTCGAAACTGAACATGCAAACTTAGAATGCAACAATTAATCTTATAATGATGCATTCATAAACTGAGGCATGTATAACTGAATATATTATGACTGAAATACTTAATAACTCAAAATACTGACATGTAAATACTCATACTTGAAAACTCTTCTTTTATTTTAAACAATTCAACATCATATTATACTATGATCATTGATGACTTGGGAAGTCATACTGCATAAATATTGATGGTATATCTAGATACCATACTATTCATACATTGATGACCTACTCAATTGTCATACTAATCATGTTTTAGAAGCTCTTTCTCAAAACTCATCTTAACTTACTCAAAAACTAGTTTAAAACTCTAGTGTTATCTTAAAGAAAAGCTTCTCAAGATTTATAACTTAAAATAGGGTTTAGGCTGAAATATATTGATAATGTGGCGTTCAAAACTGGAGCATGTATATCTGAATAACTGAAATATCTGACCTGGCATGTGTAATTCAAGAACTAAAGAAATAGCAGCTAGGGTTCTGAAATTCATGCGTGAAATGATGTAATAACATGATAATCTAATTTGGAACATTTTAAATAACTAATTCATGATGATCTGTTGAAATTCTAAAATCCCTAAGTCTGTTCATAAGCATGGAATCAAGAATCTCACTGAATTCTAGGGACCTAATGGGTGAAAGGAACCCACTAGGGAAATCCCACATACCTGGTAACGAATTCCACGGAGAAATCTTTCGATTTAGCGGCTGAAACTGAAGGAAACTTGATGCGTTCTTGAACTAGGGTTCTTGACCTCTTTTCTCCTCTTAGCGTTCTAATTCTTCTAAGTTTGATTAATGATTTGACTTAGATAAGTTCTAGTTATGTTTCTAGGCTTAAACTGATTAAAACCTCATAATTTAGGGTCTAAACGATGTATTTTAGGGGTTAAACGAAATAGGAAACGACCAAAAGACCCCTGACTTAACTGATGTCGGAGTGACTGACGGACGGGGACTGAAAGGGCCGTCATTCAATCGACGGTCCGTCGATTGGAACCGTCGGTCGAGTCTGCCCGACATTGCTTCACTAAAACTGGAATAACTTTTTACTCGGAGGTCGAAATTTACCAAACTCGGTGGCGTTGGAAAGAGGATTCAATTATATATCATACCATAGGTCATGGGACACACAATTCCTTTTGTGCTAAAAGTTATGACCATATGAAGTTGACCCATTAATAATTTTCAGCTAACTGGCTGTTGACCCTAACTTACGGTCAGACCTACGGACCGTGGATCGAACGACAGTCCGTGTTGGTCAACTGTAAATCGGGACTGAAGCTGGGCTTTAGGGCCATCGATCCATGGACATGAACTACGGTCCGTGACCAGACCTACGGACCGTAGGTCCGGCCGTGGGTCGACACCTCGCCAAATTTCTGGCTGAGTTCTGGGGGAGGTTGCTGACACGAACCACGGACCTGCAGGACGGACCGTGGGTCCTCCTACGGTCCGTGGATGGTGCCCGTGAGTGCCACCTGCAATACCAGATATCTGCAATATGGTCTATTTTTTAATACGGGGTGTTACATTATCTCCTCCTTGGGACCATTCGTCCATGAATGAAGACTAAACTAGCTTAAATGGAGGGAGAGGGCTGCAATCCCTACCACTAAACACTGAGAACTGAATTTCTGACTGAACTGAGTTCCAAGAACATGCTAATAAACTGAAAATGCAAGTACAAACTGAAGGAACGTGATTCTAAGATTGAATTTATGCATGAATGACTATAAAACTGATGAGGAACTATTACCTCCAGCTGGAATGGAATCGGAAGGAAAGAGGTGAGGATACTTGGACTTCATTGCTGCTTCTGCTTCCCAAGTAGCTCCCTCTATAGACTGACTTCTCCACAAAACGTTGACTGAAGCGACTTCTTTGTTTCTCAACCTTCTAACTTAACGATCGAGAATCTCAACTGGTACATCCTCATAAGAAAGGCTATCTTTTACAGCCACAGTCTCTAAAAGCACTACGGATGCTGGATCACCCACACATTTCTTCAAAAGAGAAATGTGAAAGACTGGATGCACTGCTGCTAAATCTGCTGGCAACCCTAACTCATAAGCCACTTTACCAATCCTTTTTCAATATCCGGTAAGGGCCTACATATCTGGGACTGAGCTTCCCTTTATTGCCAAATCTCATCACCCCCTTCATAGGGGACACTTTCAGGAAAACCCAATCATCAACTTGGAACTCTAGTTCCCTTCTTCTCACATCTGCATAAAACTTCTGGTGACTTTGAGCAGTCTTAAGTCTATCTCTAATGAGTTACACTTTCTCCATAGAATCAAGGACCGAATCTGGTCCTATCAAGGCTGCCTCACCTACTTCAAACCAACCAACTGGAGATCTACACCTACTCCCATACAATGCCTCATAAGGGGCCATCTAAATGTTTGAATGGTAATTATTGTTGTAGGCGAACTCAATAAGAGAAAGGTGATCATCCCAACTTCCCTTGAAGTAGATCACACAAGCTCTCAACATGTCCTCTAGGATCTGAATGGTACGATCTGCCTTACCATCTGTCTGAGGATGAAATACTGTGTTAAGATTAACCTGAGTACCAAGACCTTTCTGAATAACTTCCAGGAATGAGAGGTACACTGAGGACCTCTATTTGAGATGATAGACAAAGGAACCCTATGCAAACTCACAATCTCATTAATTTAAAGCTTAGCGTAATCCTCCGTCGAATTTGTAGTCTTGACCGCCAAAAAGCGAGAAGACTTAGTAACCCTATCAACAATCACCCAAATTGAGTCATGTTGTCTGCGAGTACGAGGTAAACCTGTGATGAAGTCCATGTTGATAACGTCCCACTTCCAAGTAGGAATGTCAATCTCTTGAGTCATACCTCCTGGTTTCTGATGTTCTACCTTGACTTGCTGGCGATTTGGGCACTTAGCCACAAAATCTACTATATATCTTTTCATACCATTCCACCAATAGACTTTCCGAAGATTGCGGTACATCTTAGTAGCGCCTGGACGGATAGAATATCTGGAATTATGGGCCTCTGCAAGAATATGTTGTCTCAACTCGCCCACATTAGGAACACATAATCGACCCTGGTAGCGAAGCACACCATCTCCCCCTTGGGAGATAAACCTCAACTCTCTGTTGATGGACTGCACCCTTGAGTTCAAGTAATATCGGATAGCTGTCTTGCTTTTCCTTAACTTTCACTACCAAAGATTATTCTAATCTATTCTGGACTATCCCACCACCATCTGATGTGTTAGTAAAACTAACTACTAAGAAAGCAAGACGATGAACATATTTTTCTACTTCCTTCTTTTTTCCTCAATATGTGCTACACCACCCTCTAGATTCACCTCTTTCTGGCCTTAAGGTAAGAGATAATCAACATATAGGTACTGAGCTACTACCCTTCTATTCTAAGACTGGCTCGTTTGGAAATTAGAACTTAACAACCCGAATTCTACAATCGACTGAGGCATGACAACTGAGAACCAATCCATGCCTAGAATGGCATCGAAGTCTACCATTTCTAACTCTACAATATCTGCTGAGGTGACTTTCTGAGAGACTATGACAGGGCAATTTCTGTATACCCGTCTAGCAATAACTAGGTCACCAACTGGGGTAGAGACAAATGTAAGAGTAGCCCTTGGATCTAACACTACAAAATATCTAAAAAGGACTCGAAACGTACTAGTGATCACATCAAAAGAATCTTCCAGGTCCTGGGGAGCCTGAAGAGCATAGAGCCTATTTTGGTGTTGTCCTCCACCTGTACCAGAAGAGTTACCCTACTGAGTTGGGTAACCTTTCGATACTGTTGGAGCTGTAGGCTGAGCCCTAGTATTGTTGCCTTCTTGCCCCTTCCTAGCGAAAGGGCAATTCTTCACCCTATGACCAGACTGGCCACACCCAAAACATACTTCCTTGCCTGCAAGACACTCGCCTGGATGGTTCTTACCACACTTTGGACAAGTTGGGTAGGTCCTATTTCCTGAAACACTTCCCTGAGACTTAGAGCCTCGTGCCCTACTATTTTGATCTTGTCGAAACTGTGAGTGATTTCCACCACCCGATTTCTGCTGAGAGTACTCATAGTTCCCTGTTTTAGCTTTCTTGGTTACCTTAGCAATTTCCCTAAGCTTATCTCCCTCAACCTGCTGATTGTTCTGAATATTCATACTTTGAGCGAAAGGTTGAATAGTGTTTTGAAACTCTGCATTGGAAACTACCTGATCTGGGACTAGAGGAAATGTGTTAGCATTCCTGGCATTCGCATTCCTAGTGTTAGCTCTACGGGGAGGCATGATCGCTGAAATGTAAAATGTCGAGTTATCATAGAATTAGATCATACCTTACGCATGATAAGAATATCAAGAAAGTGACGTTTTCCTAAAACACTTCGTAGCCTCCCTCTCATTAGATGTGGTGCACCTCACACCCATGAAAAGGACTCTACTTAGTGCGGTTTTCAGACATCCTAGGACAGTTAAACCTAATGCTCTGATACCAAGTTTGTCACGCCTTGAGATACCCCCGAGACGTGGACACGGGACCTAGGACCACAAGTATAATACGGAAGCTAAATCGTAAATAAAATGAAAAGATGGGGAATACCCATATACTATAACAGAGATAAATGAAAACTGATGAGTTTAATACAAAGAAGATATTAACTCAATACTAAGCTGAATCTAACTATGTCTAAAATAAGCCTCTAAACTGACTAGAAGTGCTGGGACATGCCCCAGCTAAGTCTAGAAAATCTGAACCTAGAAGACTGAAAACTAAAAGATGACATGACTATTGTCCTCGAAGAATGAGGACTCACCACTGATGCTGCTGAACTGGAGATCAGAAACCGATCTAAGCGTGATCTGGATGCTGGGAACCTGAACCTACATCACGGAAGATGTAGCGCACGTATGCGTCAGTACTTGAAATATATTGAGCATGCAGGGTAGAGTAAAGCTGAAATAACATATAACTAAACAAAGCCATAAAGCAATGATATAATCTAAACATGGTATAGATACTGAATGTTGAGCTAACTGAATGCAATGACCAAATTTATAACATGCTGAGACTGAATACTGACTGTACTGAAATATGGTCAATGCAATAGAGTCTGACTGAACTGGAAGATGTAGCGCACGTATGCGTCAGTACTTGAAATATATTGAGCATGCAGGGTAGAGTAAAGCTGAAATAACATATAACTAAACAAAGCCATAAAGCAATGATATAATCTAAACATGGTATAGATACTGAATGTTGAGCTAACTGAATGCAATGACCAATGCTGAGAATGAATACTGAATATACCGATACATGGTCAATGCAATAGAATCTAACTGAACTGTGGGAGCTACTAATAACCAACATAAAACCACATGAGCTAAATGTGGAGTCCGATATATACGCCCCATCGAGAGGACCCAATATACCCTGCCAGAGGTATAGAGGCATACTGGCGTGATCACTAAACTGATGTTGCCCACAGAGGGGACTTACACCTACGTGGCTCGTAGTTCTGGGACTATAAGGGTACGCTGAAACCCTAGTTCAAAATACTGACATGTAGATACTCATACTTGAAAATTTTTGTTTTTAAAACAATTCAACATCATATTATACTATGATCATTGATGACTTGGGAAGTCATACTGCATAAACATTGATGGTATATCTAGATACCATACTATTCATACATTGATGACTTACTCAATTGTCATACTAATCATAATTTAGAAGCTCTTTCTCAAAACTCATCTTAACTTTCTCAAAAACTAGTTTAAAACTCAAGTGTTGTCTTAAAGAAAAGCTTCCCAAGATTTATAACTTAAAATAGGGTTTATGCTGAAATATACTGATAATGTGGTGTTCAAAACTGGAGCATGTATGTCTGAATAACTGAAATATCTTACCTAGCATGTGTAATTCAAGAACTAAAGAAATACATAGCTAGGGTTCTGAAATTCATGCGAGAAATGATGTAATAACATGATAATCTGATTTGGAACATTTAAATAACTAATTCATATTGATCTGTTGAAATTCTAGAAACCCTAGGTCTGTTCATAAGCATGGAATCAAGAATCTGACTGAATTCTAGGGACCTAATGGGTGAAAGCAACCCACTAGTGAAATCCCACATACCTGGTGACGAATTCCACGGAGAAATCTTTTGATTTCGGGGCTGAAACTGAAGGAAACTTGCTGCGTTCTTGAACTAGGGTTCTTGACCTCTTTTCTCCTCTTAGCGTTCTAATTCTTCTAAGTTTGATTAATGATTTGACTTGGATAAGTTCTAGTTATGTTTCTAGGCTTAAACTGATTAAAACCTCATGATTTAGGGTCTAAACGATGTATCTCAGGGGTTAAACAAAATAGGAAAAGACCAAAAGACCCCTGACTTAACTGCTGTCGGAGTAACTGACAGACGGGACTGACGGGCCGTCATTCAATCGACGGTCCGTCGATTGGAACCGTCGGTGGAGTCTGCCCGACAGGGCTTCACTAAAATGGGCATAACTTTTTACTCGGAGGTCGAAATTTAGCAAACTCGGTGGCATTGGAAAGAGGATTCAACTATCTATCATACCATAGGTTATGGGACACACAATTCCTTTTCTGATAAAATTTATGACCATATGAAGTTGACCCATCAATAATTTTCAGCTAATTATCTATTGACCCTAACTTACGGTCAGACCTATGGACCGTGGATCGAACGACGGTCCATGCTGGTCAACCGTCAATCGGGACTGAAGCTGGGCTTTAGGGCCATCGATCCACGAACACGAACCACGGTCTGTGACTTGACCTACGGACCGTAGGTCCGGCCGTGGGTCGACACTTGGCCGAATTTCTGGCTGAGTTCTGGGGGAGGTTGCTGACACGAACCACGGACCTGCAGGACGAACCATGGGTCCTCCTACGGTTTGTGGTTGGTGCCCGTGAGTTCCATCTGCAACACCAGAAATCTGCAATCTGGTCTATTTTCGAATACGGGGTGTTACAGTTATAGAGTTTGATGTGAGGGGTAGAATTATAAAATGACTTATGGTACTTAGAATGAGGGGTTTAGGGGTTAAACATCAAGGTATGACTCCCCAAGGACCAACCAAAAGGTTCCTTGAGGAGGACCCTAAAAACAGCCACAAAAGCTATCAAAAACAGCACACATACGATGGGGACCAACGCCCCGTGGATCCACCCAAACCCCGTGGGGGAGGGTCGTGGGTCAAGCCTACAGAACCATGTTCTAGTATCCCACCCACGAAGGACCAATACGTTCCATCGATCCACCCACGGTCTGTGGGTAGGGGTCTCGTGGGTGAGGCAGTATTGAAGTCAAGTCTTTTTAAGTTGGGGAGTTGGGGGTTAATTCATTTTTAGTTAGTTATTAAGTAGGTTCGTTTTATTATTAAATATGCCACCTATATAAACCTAATAGACCCTTAAACTAAATCAATTAAGTCATTCTTCCAAGTCCCCAAAACAAACCCAAATTCCCTCAAGAAATTCTCTCTCTAGAAGTAAAGAAGAAGAAGAAGAAGAGAAGCAATCTAGGTCGAAACTCTCCATTGATGCAAGCTTGGTGAGGTATTTCTAACCAAGGTATGTTAGTTTATTCTTCTATGGATTCTTTCATCCATAGAGCCCCCTACATTTCCCCCAATTCTAGCTGGGGTTTCTTCCTACAGTTTGGATAGTGTTAAAGTATGATTCCAATTGAGTGGGTAGTACTTGTTTATGATTGTTTTTGTATTGAATTATGTCATTATGATGATATTATGTGTTTTCCATGGTTAACCCTAGTCTAATTGATATTATGTGGGTTTATGTCATGAAAGGTGAAACTGAGGATTCATAGGTGATGTCACGATCTGATTTCTCGAGTCATGATGGCACCTACTATAACCCACCAGTAGGTAAGCCAACCCGTAACCCGGAACAACAAGTAATGGGTCTGAGGGCAAAAACTAAACAAAAGTAGGCAAAATTTAAGATAACAATATAAACAGGCGGAAGCAAACCAAAACATATATATACAAATAAAGATCCCTCCCAGAACCTATGGAAGTCACTAGTACAGAGCTACGAACAAAACGAGTACAAGTCCCAAAAGTGGACCACAGAAAAGTGGATTGTCTGGAAAGGTACAAGGCAAGTCTATATATACAGATGGAGACTAAAATAGTACAAAACGCCATGTGCTCACCCCCATCTCCGGATCAGACTGCTCCAAGAATGATGTCAACCCTGGCCACTGGTGCTCGGACCTGCATCACGAAAATAGATGCAGAGCATAGCATGAGTACCCAAACAACAATGGAATGCACAAGAGTGTAGAAAGAACTAACTAAAGTAATTTATAAGCTAACTACACCTAACTGGACCCCGTAAGCCCAGAAGGTACACTCGTATTCAAGTTTAAATAAAAACCCAAACGGACCCCCATAACCCCAAAGAGTACACAGAATAACTATAACTAAAGAGAACAAATCCCAAGACCGGAGAACATCGAACCAGAACCTAAAATCCAATTAGTAGAATCTGATAGTACGGAGGCCGGACCTCGAACCGGATGCTCACCAGAAGTACCCAAGTAACCAATCACAAGTATCAAGTAACTGAGGCCGGACCTCTAACTGGATGCTCTAAATAAGTATTTGGGTGATCGAGGCCGGACATTGAACCGGATGCTCTTCAAAACTATCAATGAGGTCAAGGCTAGAGCTCAAATCCGGATGCCCAAAAAGGTGCCAATGTAGCTGCTGAAAGAGTCCTAATCGATCCATGATCATAAATGTCCGTGGAACGCCGTCCACACTTAGCCAATCAGTGTAAGTCCTTGGAACCGAATCGAAAACCAACTTCAAATCGCGAAGCGGAACCCAGTTTCGCCGACATAACTCATGAAGCCATAGCATCGAAGAGATAACGATAACTATCATCGGAGTAAGTGTTTCACCTAGATAAGGCCCAAACTATCAGACTCAAGTCTGCTACACCAATCTATATGGATCTAAGTCGGTCGAGCGACGTCGGGGCAAAACTAAGGCCTATTAGTTCCGAATCACGTATTTCTAAGGCAAGCCCTAGTCAAACCTAAAATAAGGCCCAACATGCTTCAATAAATAGTAATCAAGCATACATGTACTCCACATAGAAAATAGGGTCAATTAATAACACATAACATGCTCACAGTTACCCGATAATTCCTGAAATAGGCCGAAAACATGATTTCTAAACACCTATGCATGATTCAATACCTACCCTACTAAAATCCCAACTAATC